GACACACACACAGTCACACACACACGGACACAGTCACACACACAGACACACGGACACAGTCACACAGACAGACACACAGACACTCACACACACACACACTCACACAGACACACATACTCACACAGTCACACACACGGACACACACACTCTCTCACACACACAGACACACACAAGCACGCGCGCACACACACATAAAAACTCTAATAATAATAATTATACATAATGTACAAGAAACGGAAATGTGAACATTAAAACAATGGTGTGCGTAAAAAATGGTAAATAGTTATCAAATTTGGCTGCTAACAGCTCACTGAAGCCTGTTTCACGCATGAGCAGAACGTTTGGATCAGGTGTTCAGCTGCGGCTATTACAGTTATTTCTGGGATACTATGCCAAATATTGTCTTTAATAATGGCCAAAAATTATTAAATGGTTTTGGGAGGCGGTTAATGAGAGCTATAATGAACTTGATCATCATGTGCATGAGAACGAGGAGCAGACTGACATCACATCACACAACCGGCTGCTTCAGTCTTCATTCAAAGTTCAGATGATTTTATGCCATTTCTAGTCTCCCGACGTTTTAATTTTCTAGAGTTCAGTGTGTGGGACGCCGCACAGCTCTCACTCCCAGTGTGAAGGCTGTAACGTGTTCATAAGGGTCCAAAACTAGCACGCTAATATCGTACTGATGGCTGATATTAATGTAATAAACATTATGGAACTAATATCCAAAAAGGATAGAAAGAAAGTCATAGAGTATGTGCAGATGCTCTGATCTTTGCTGGTCAGAAAAAACTCCTCAAAAGTGTGTGTTTATCAAAAATAAGCTCATTCTAAAAACACATTTGATTAAATGATTGTGTTTTGACGAAAACGGGCCTGTACACAACACAAGCACTGATTAAGTCTGAGTGCTGGTGAAGCTGCTAGTGCAAAACTGACATGTACTCAACATTTTTTTTGCTTGAATATTTCATGACCTAATCGATAAAACAACAAGACCTAAACACAGCCGGACAGGTTGCATGATAGGCGTGAGATTGTGCATGTAAACACTCAATTACACTACTGTTCAAAACTTCAGTAAAGGTCAGTAAGGACTTTTTTTTTTATTATTAATACTTTTATTCAGCTAAGACATGTTAAATTGATCAACATGAAATAGATTTCTATTTCAAATAAATGCTGTTCTTTTGAAAGATGAATAAATGAGCTTTCCATTGATGTATGGTTTGTTAGGACAGGACAATATTTGGCCGAGATACAACTATTTGAAAATCTGGAATCTGAGGGTGCAAAAAAATCAAAGCGGTGGTTATAGTTGAAATCTTTCTCGTCCAGTATCGTGTACATCATCTCGGCTCCGGCGTCTCCTCTGCTGGGCTTCATGGTCGATAGGACGGGCAGAAACGTCTTGTGGGTTATGCTGGCTGTCGCCACCACGCTCCTCTCTCACATGATGCTGGCCTTCACCTTCTGGAACCCCTGGATCGCCATGGTAACCGCCAAACTCTCGACCAATCAGCTGTGAGAGCCAGTGTGACAGTATAACGTATCACTTTGATCAAACGGCTGTGTGTGTGTGTGTGTGTGTGTCAGTGTCTGTTAGGTCTGTCGTATTCTCTGCTGGCCTGTGCTCTCTGGCCCATGGTGGCGTTTGTGGTGCTGGAGCATCAGCTGGGAACCGCCTACGGATTGTAAGTCTGATCTGACGACGTCTCCTGATGCTGCTGCAGATGTGTTGGTCCAGTAATAACGCTCTGATGTGTTGCACAGTATGCAGTCCATACAGAACCTGGGTCTGGCGCTCATGTCCATGGCTGCGGGAAGCATCTTAGACCTCAAAGGATACCTGTTCCTCGAGGTCTTCTTCATCGCCTGCCTGTGCTGTGAGTAAACACGCGTACGCACGCACAAATCCCCTCCTGAGCTGCATTCGAACCATGCATTTCACGATTGTTGTCGTGTGTGATGTGTGTTTCAGTGGCTCTGCTGGCCGTGGTGCTGCTGTATCTGTGTGATTATTACAAAGGTAATATCAGCGTTCGCTCCAGATGAACTCAGCCCGTGATGAGCCGTTACTCACATGTTTCCGTCTCTTCTGTTGTCAGAGGGAGAGCTGAACCTGTCGGCCTCCGCACGAGCCGGCCGAGCCAAATCTGAGTGAGTCCATATAACGCACACATCTCATACAGAGAATCATAACGTCACGATTTCTCCTCGAAACGGCCTTTAACATGCGTCATCGCTGTATGTAATCAATCACAAGAGCCGTACTGTACATACCTGCGCTACATGCAGCGCCTTTTGTAATACGACAAGTAATAATAGTACTTTTTAAAATTATATACTGAAAATTAAGCAATTTAGCAAGCAAGCAAAAGCTGTTGCGGTCGTTGTGGTTGTGTTGTTTCAGTTTCTTCTCTCTCGGGCACAAACATATACAGCTCTGTCACAGCACTTGCCATCTCGAATATCAAAACACACGACATGCTGGAAAGGGGGCGTGGCTACAGTACGATGAAGTCAGCCAATCACAGCAGTGGGCGTTTACTTCCGTTTCTGCAGGAGGAAACGCCCTTCAAATTGACTTCACAGAGAGTGAAAATGAGAAAATTATCATTTGTACAAATATTGGATGCAAAACACTTTAAAGGGGTAGTTCACCCAAAAATTAATTTAAATTACCCATTGGTTTACTCACCCTCGAGCCATCCTAGGTGTGTATGACTTGCTTCTTACAGACAAATACAATGGGAGTTATATTAAAAAATATCCTGGATCTTCCAAGCTTTATAATGGGAGTGAATGGGTGTTGAGATTTTGAAGTCCAATAAAAGTACATTAAAAGTGCTCCACACGGCTCCTGCGGGTTCATAAAGGCCTCCTGAAGTGAATCTATGCGTTCGCATAAGAAAAGTATCCATATTTATAACTTCATAAACCGTAATCTCTAGCTTCCGCTAACTGTTGTACACGCGTTCATGAGAGAGTGGTGTTCAGCGGATGACGTAGGACGCAGCTAGTATTCGCAAGAACCACGTTCTGTTTACAGCAAAGGAAAACCAGTCTCCTCTTGGCTTATATCGAAAATCCTCCGACATTTTTCTCACCGGAGCTTACACTACCTGTACATCCTACATCACTCTCTCGTGAATGTGCGTACAACAGTCAGCGGAAGCTAGACATTACAGTTTATAAAGTTATAAATATGGATACTTGCTTCAGGAGGCCTTTATTAACCCACAGGAGCCGTGTGGAGCACTTTCATGATGGATGAATGCACTTTTCTGGACTCCAAAATCTTAACACCCATTCACTGCCATTATAAAGCTTGGAAGAGCCAGGATGTTTTTTTAATATAACTCCTACTGTATTCGTCTGAAAGAAGAAAGTCATACACTCCTAGGATGGTTTGAGGGTGAGTAAATCATGGGGTAATTTTCATTTTTGGGTGAACTACCCCTTTAACTAACGTTGAGAAACAAAAACACTTTTAATGTTTTAGTTTGTTCCCAATCCTCATGAGCTGGCTATGTAGGAGCATCTGAAGGCATTGTTCCAAAATATCTGCAGCAACACTCTGCTGCTTGGTAGGATATTTTCTTTCGGCAGCATCACAGATAATCCCAGAATCACTTCGTCAATTTCAGTAAACCAATAAATGCAGATGAGGCGAGAGATTTTATGTATATTAGGTGCATATTAGTATATTACTAATGTCAAACTCTTAGTTCTGTGAAATGAGCTTCGTCAGTGCATCAGACGCGAGTGTTTCTGTCTCTGTGATTATCGTGACTGATGTTCACGTGTCTGCTGTGCTGTGTTTCAGGTGAAGAGCGTCTGACGCACATCTCCTTCACCTCGGGCCTTTCTGCACTGACCACTTTCTCTGACACTTCAGATAAACACATCCGACTACCCACAATCCTTCACTGAGCACCTCTAGAGTCCTGAACATCAGGACATCACAGATCATCCTAAATGAGCTTGACATTATTTTCATTGCAGTTAAACACAAAAACCCCAAATTCATGATACTGTAATATAAAGAAAAGCAAATAACATTTTATCGATTACAATTGTAATTATACCTCATTGTAGTAGTTGTTTTACTAACTTGTAATTTAATTGCGATTTAATTCATTAAGATTTTAATAATGAAATTGTGCCTGGATAAGATGATTTTAATCATAGTGTTATTGTAGTAAGGGGTTAAATGTTCAATCACAAGAGCCGTACTGTACATACCTGCGCTACATGCAGCGCCTTTTGTAATACGACAAGTAATAATAGTACTTTTTAAAATTATATACTGAAAATTAAGCAATTTAGCAAGCAAGCAAAAGCTGTTGCGGTCGTTGTGGTTGTGTTGTTTCAGTTTCTTCTCTCTCGGGCACAAACATATACAGCTCTGTCACAGCACTTGCCATCTCGAATATCAAAACACACGACATGCTGGAAAGGGGGCGTGGCTACAGTACGATGAAGTCAGCCAATCACAGCAGTGGGCGTTTACTTCCGTTTCTGCAGGAGGAAACGCCCTTCAAATTGACTTCACAGAGAGTGAAAATGAGAAAATTATCATTTGTACAAATATTGGATGCAAAACACTTTAAAGGGGTAGTTCACCCAAAAATTAATTTAAATTACCCATTGGTTTACTCACCCTCGAGCCATCCTAGGTGTGTATGACTTGCTTCTTACAGACAAATACAATGGGAGTTATATTAAAAAATATCCTGGATCTTCCAAGCTTTATAATGGGAGTGAATGGGTGTTGAGATTTTGAAGTCCAATAAAAGTACATTAAAAGTGCTCCACACGGCTCCTGCGGGTTCATAAAGGCCTCCTGAAGTGAATCTATGCGTTTGCATAAGAAAAGTATCCATATTTATAACTTCATAAACCGTAATCTCTAGCTTCCGCTAACTGTTGTACACGCGTTCATGAGAGAGTGGTGTTCAGCGGATGACGTAGGACGCAGCTAGTATTCGCAAGAACCACGTTCTGTTTACAGCAAAGGAAAACCAGTCTCCTCTTGGCTTATATCGAAAATCCTCCGACATTTTTCTCACCGGAGCTTACACTACCTGTACATCCTACATCACTCTCTCGTGAATGTGCGTACAACAGTCAGCGGAAGCTAGACATTACAGTTTATAAAGTTATAAATATGGATACTTGCTTCAGGAGGCCTTTATTAACCCACAGGAGCCGTGTGGAGCACTTTCATGATGGATGAATGCACTTTTCTGGACTCCAAAATCTTAACACCCATTCACTGCCATTATAAAGCTTGGAAGAGCCAGGATGTTTTTTTAATATAACTCCTACTGTATTCGTCTGAAAGAAGAAAGTCATACACTCCTAGGATGGTTTGAGTGTGAGTAAATCATGGGGTAATTTTCATTTTTGGGTGAACTACCCCTTTAACTAACGTTGAGAAACAAAAACACTTTTAATGTTTTAGTTTGTTCCCAATCCTCATGAGCTGGCTATGTAGGAGCATCTGAAGGCATTGTTCCAAAATATCTGCAGCAACACTCTGCTGCTTGGTAGGATATTTTCTTTCGGCAGCATCACAGATAATCCCAGAATCACTTCGTCAATTTCAGTAAACCAATAAATGCAGATGAGGCGAGAGATTTTATGTATATTAGGTGCATATTAGTATATTACTAATGTCAAACTCTTAGTTCTGTGAAATGAGCTTCGTCAGTGCATCAGACGCGAGTGTTTCTGTCTCTGTGATTATCGTGACTGATGTTCACGTGTCTGCTGTGCTGTGTTTCAGGTGAAGAGCGTCTGACGCACATCTCCTTCACCTCGGGCCTTTCTGCACTGACCACTTTCTCTGACACTTCAGATAAACACATCCGACTACCCACAATCCTTCACTGAGCACCTCTAGAGTCCTGAACATCAGGACATCACAGATCATCCTAAATGAGCTTGACATTATTTTCATTGCAGTTAAACACAAAAACCCCAAATTCATGATACTGTAATATAAAGAAAAGCAAATAACATTTTATCGATTACAATTGTAATTATACCTCATTGTAGTAGTTGTTTTACTAACTTGTAATTTAATTGCGATTTAATTCATTAAGATTTTAATAATGAAATTGTGCCTGGATAAGATGATTTTAATCATAGTGTTATTGTAGTAATGGGTTAAATGTGTTTAATCATCATGAAAATAATGTCTTGAAATAGGTTTTGTTTGGAATACTTAACCTCAAAACTCACATTTCTGTCATCGTTTACTGTACGAGTTTCTTTATTCTGAGGAACATAAAATAAGATATTTTGAAGAATGTTGGTAAGCAAACAGTGGCTTTTTGAAAAAAGAAAAAAAAAAAGAATACTACGTAAGTCAATGGGGACCAGAAACTATTATTCTTCTAAATATTTACATGCATTTTTTTTTTTTAAGAAAGAAACTCATACAGGTTTTGAGTAACTTGAGGGTGAGTAAATGATGACAACATTTTCACTTTCGGGTGAACTACCCCTTTAGTGCATCTTTCACTATTTGTTGTTGTTATTTTGGGATGAAATATGTCGCACATTTCTTGATGAGGTTGAGCTGTTGTCTCAGGGAAGCATCTTAAACATCAGTGAGCATAATGAGTCTAGAAGCCCACTCCAGGACTAGAGCCGAGCAGAAGTGTTCGGGGTGACCTTGATCCTGCTCCACAGATTTAGATGATTTTAGCTGGACTCCTACGTCTCTTAACTTAGCTTGTTTTTTAGAACTATTGTTTTTGAATCAGTTGTTTCAGTAATTCTGGTGTGTTTTCACAGCAGTGAGTTTTACTTGAATGACTTTATTCCCCAAAACATGAAATTGACTTTATTTGTATAACCTATTTTCCACACTGATAAAAAAAAAAAAGCGTGTAGCAACAATTTTCACTTAGAAATTGTTAGTACATTTCATAAAACAATGATGTTAAATGTTATGAATTAAATGTGAAATTTTAAAAGAAAGACTGGAATAGTATTTTCTTGTAATTACACTGGGTTTTCAATGTAATCCAGTATAGTTTACAACTTCAGAAACTCATGTTTCTAGACAAACCGTTTTACTCATAAATATTGCGAATTGCATCATATGTTGACTTTATATAGGTTTTCTTAAAGAGTTTTTATTACACATGCTTCTCTACGATCAAGATTGATTTTACGTACAGTATCATCAGGAGCCTTTAAATGTATTTTTGACTTGCCTTTGTCTCAGATGTGTGGCTTTTATGACTTCTTTTTTTTTTTTTTTTTTCAATTTTGGAGACGTTACTTTTTCCTTGTTACACAAGTCATCCAGACAAATACTAGAAGACGTTACATTTTCCTTTAAAATACAGTGGAACATAAACAATAACAAATAGGTAAATATTTGTATTTCTCATCTGATTATGATTTGGCAGGTTTCATAAGATTCATATTTGTCTGTATAAGGCTTCAGTCTCTTTATACCATGATTTCTCAGTTCAGTTTGTAATGCTGTATGTGAAATACGTCTGTATATGTTGAGGAAGATGTTCTTGTGCTGTTTGTGAGCGTCTGAACCAGCTCTGACCCTGGCTTTGTTAGTGTTGGGTTACCTGTTTGATTGTGACTTGTGTTGGTGTCTCAGGGATGTCCCTCAGCCGTGTGTGGAGGATCATCTGAAGCCTCTGTCTCCGTTTGGTCTGCGGAACCGCTATCTGTCCAGACTGGGAGTGCAGGTATCACCGAAACATCACGTGCTGCTGTGTTGCTGTGCAAATAGTCTGTTTTCATTATTTAAAAAAAAAAGAAGAAAGAAGCCATTATTGTCACCTGCAGCCATTAATGCAGTATTATCTGTGACCGTGCTGGACATGAAGTCCAGTGAGCAGAGCGTGTGTGATGGAGCAGATGTCTCATGCAGGTGATGTGTTGTTGTTGTGTTGGCAGATGCCGGATCACTGCTGCCCACATCTGTCTTCACTGGCCTACAGGAGTGTCCTCAGATGAGTCCGTCTGTCCAGTCATGCTGATAGAGACTCATTTGTTTGTCAATAAATGTTTATTTTTGCATGCATTCTTTTGTTTTTGTTTGATTAAAAAAAATCCAGCAGAAGTGCACGAGGCTGTAGATGCATGCAGTAGAGAGATGTGCGCCGTCTTGGGCTTCTTGTGCTGAATGCACCGATGTATGCACCTGTTTTTTATTTTATTTATTTGGTAAGCCTTGTTGTTTTAGTGTATGCACTTTTTTTTTTTTTTTTTTTTAAGTCTGAAGTATCCATCTTCCCTGCTGGGGGAAGAAGAAGAAAACATGCAGCTAAAACCAGCCTTTGCATTTAAGAGACATTGTTAGTTCAGGAATCGATTCTCACTATTAAGTTGCGTATTAGCATGCATATTACTAACATATTGGCTGTTTATTAGTGCTCATAAAGATTCTGCATGGCCATATTTTAGATCCCTTAATCCTAAACCCCATAACAACTACCTTACTATTAATAAGCAGCAGATTAGTAGGCAAAAGTTAGTTCATAGAATTGGACCTTAAAATAAAGTGTGACCAAAATAGGTTGTCAACCACAAAGTAGTAGCTAACAGGCTATTTAAGGGGTTTTCACCTACATGTATTCTGTAAAACAGTTCAAAACAGGAAAGATGTGCAGTGGTCTTGGTCAATGGACATTGCAATTAAAATACATAAAACACACAAGAACCTGGCATCCATACCGTCGTTAGTTCACAGTTGACTCTTAATGTGCTGTTCACATGATTCAGTTCTCATTAACCGGAGAAACCCAGCCGCTGAAATATAAACCCTGTGACAACTAGCCCCGCTGGAGCGTCTGTTCGCGTGATTGATGCTGATGCTGATGCTGCGCGCTGATGCGCTCCTCTGATTGGCTGAGAGGAAGCAGCCCGGGACGCGACGCGACGCTCTTCACGCGCTGTCCTGCAGACGCTCGCGGAGGTGAAGCGGTGATGTCATGCGTGTGTCTGTCGGACAGGACTGAGGACGCTCCCCGCATCTCTCACTCAGGTAAACCCGCTCTGCTCTGCTATTCTCAGCCTCGCGCGATGATCCACTGTAGACGTGAAGATGCAGTGTTCGGCTCGTGACTGTTCAGACGATCCGCAGCGCTTCAGAGCCATTACGTCACGTGCCAAAGGGGGGATTTGGATCCCTTTTCTTTGCATGAACACATTGATGTTTATGGCCGGTGATGCACGGAGTCGAGGTGAGGTGTGAAGCAGAACTTTCTGCTCCAGCCTTTAACATGCGTGCTTCAGTCCCGAACCCGAGTCTGTGTTCGGCTGTTGAAAGCTGCTTGCCACCAGAACATGTTGATTATCAAGCTTGAATATTACAAGAGCGGCTTTATTTTACATTTTATGTGAGCTTGAAATTCCGGACATGATTTGTTTGATTTATGTTGCTTACTTTCTCTCTTACTTTCTTTCTAAACGTCAAATAAACATGATTTGAAATTTGAACTATTATAATAATTTTATATATTTTAAAATATATAACAGGGTTACAGCCTGTTCCGTTCAGTTTGCTTTGCACTTGTCATAAATTATTATTATATATGTGTGTATGTCTGATCACAATTTGTAATATAATTTGCAGCTTTACAACTGCAGTCAACACTTAAAATGTGTGCACAAATTGTGAAAATGGAATGAGATTATTTACCTGTCAGATGATGTCACTTCCAGGATGTCTCCATTTTTAAGAATTCTACTTTGTTTTTGTTTATTTTTTGGAAAAGTGGAAAATAGCATGCTAAATGTGTGGCACCGCTAATTATTATGTTTATGAACTCTTTTCACTGAGTGTGATGATGCTTTTCCAAATTTAGGAAAGGTTTTAGACTTTTTTTTTTTTTTTTTT